CTACATGGCAAATAATTTTTCTAGCAGGTGTAGTAGAGTAATAGAAATCCAACAACCCAACATTTATAATGGGATGCTGCTGATTCTGTTTAATTGAAACACTAATTTAAAGGGGGCATGTTTAAAATAAAAGCCCTGGGGGAGTTCTATTAAATAAGGTCATTCATTCTTTGAAAAAAGGGGGGCAATGGAATTTGCCCTTTTTTAAAGGGAAAGGAAAGGGGCAAATTTTTTGTACATGCTGGTTACAGTACATTCCCTCGGAAAAATTTTGAGGGAAAAAGGGGGTTTTTCCCGACAATTTTTCAGAAGAAAAAAACGTACTTTGAGTAAAAAAATTTAAATTTGGGGAGGGGAAAACATAAATAAAAAATTTCGAAAAGATAGGCCTGCCCCAGCAAAAAAGATCGCAAATGCTTTTTTAATTTGGCCCAAACCCAAAACCTGAAAAACGTGGAAAGGGAAAATGAAAAATACTACCCTTCGAATGGGTTGAGAATAGCCAAAAAGGCAAAGGACTCAGCCAACAATCTACCCGGAAGAACAAAGGGGTTAAAAATTTCCCTTTTGGGTACTTTACAATTAAAGGCGCCAAAAGTGAAGCCAAAACTATCTGGGAAAAAGGGCCCCCCGCAAATTTTTTAAATGGGTTTAAAAAAGAATGTGGAAGAGGTTTTCAATTTTCCAAAAAGCACATTGGGGGCCAAAAAAGAAATGGCGCAAAAAATTTTTTTTGGACTGTTTAAAAATAAGATTGTTCTTTTTTGGGTCTATGGCCGGGGGGACCCCTTTTTTTCTAAGGAAACCCCCAAAAAACTGGGAAATTTAAGCCACAAACACTGTGAAGACAGTGAAACATGGGTTGCCCCAAGCATCAAGATAGGGGGGTTTTTTTTTTTTATACTACCCGGGGTTGGGGCCCATTTAAACCCCATACCAGGGGTCATGGATCAGTTTGGGAAAACATCAGAATACTTTAAAAAGGGCGCTGCCTTTTGCTGAAAGGAAATGTCCTTGAAAGGGGTTTTTCCAACAAGAAAAGACCCCAAAAAACAACCCGTAAACCCCACCAGTAAACTGGGAGTAAAAAGTGCAAAGTATCAAACAAAATTTTATTTTTTTTTTTTCTTCATGTTTTGATTTGGGAAAAAATGTTTTTTAAATGTTCCCCAAAAGCAAATTTTTAATTTATTCCCTTTAATTTTTTCAACCCTATAAAAAAGGGCATTTTAACATATATTTTTACATACGTTAATTTTAAAGTATAGGACGGGGGGTTACAGACATTTAAAACTCACCTGTCCTTTTTGTAGTATTTTATTGGTTCCACACCCTTATTTGAAAAATAATGGGGTTTTTTAGGGCCCAAGCCATATGAAAATAAAAGATGCACTTTAAGAAAACACTAGATAAAATTTGAACATTTTTTATTGTAATTTGTATAAAAAAACCCCCAAAAAAGTGGTAAAAGGGCAAAATTTTATCGCCAAAATAGGCACATAATAGTTAAAATAGAAAAAAAAAAATAAAAAAACTTAAATAGCAACAAGGGGTGGGGAAGGGGTCTGGGGCCCCCGGACGGCCAAACACGAAAAACCCAAAAACCACGCGCAAGAGGGCTAAGAGCCCCCTCCCAAACTTAAAAAATGTGGATTTTTCATAAGGGAAATGTTTTTCCATAGGTTGAATTAGAAAAAATGGATAATTTGGGTCCCGAAATCTGATGGGTTTCTTGGGGTAAAAACCCACTTTTTTTTCAGGGAAAATTTTGGAAAAACAAAATTAAAAAGTGGGCCCCTGTTTAAAGCTTTTGTTCAATATAACACCTGATGTAGAGGGAAAATCAATTTTGGTGGAAAATTTCAAGAAAAAATTTATTTCCAGCGGGAAAACCGGGGGGAAACCACCCTTTCCCAAAAGTTCCTCTGGGCCCATTTGGGGAAAAAAAAGTCCCCAAAAGACCTCTGGCCCTATTAGGGAACCATCAGTACCCAGAGTGACCACTGGCCCAATTAGGGAACCATCAGTCCCAAGAGTACCTCTGGTGCCCTATTAGGGAACCATCAGTACCAAGTAGATACCTCTGGTCCCTTTTAGGGAAACCATCATCCAAGAGTACCTCTGGTTCCTATTAGGGAACCATCAGTCCAGAGTACCTCTTGGTCCTATTAGGGAACCATCAGTCCAAGAGTAACCCCTCTGGTCCTATAAGGGAACCATCAGTCCAATAGTACCTGTCAGGGCTCCCAGGTGTGACCCAGGAGATGTGTGACTGAACGCAGGGAAACGCAGACTTCCAGATATGTGATAAAACAATGTAATTTATTAACACTAACAATACAACCATAAACGCGAGGTGGCAAATACTAAATGGAAACAATAATACAGTGCAAAGCCAAAACCAAACCAACCACCCACAGATTACAGTACAAACCAAGCAAGCGTACGTCAGGCAGGCCGGGGTCAATATCAATAGGGCATGTAGGTACAGGGGGGAGCAAATCTGGAGTAATGGTCGGGGTCACGAGGCCAGGTTTCAGCAGGTTAGCAAGCATGTCGTTTAGTACAAGAGGGTCAGGGCCAGAGGGAATTGGTCGAGGGTCACAAGCCAGGGATCAGAACAGGGTGTCAGCAGAGAAGAAATCAGACAGGAACAGAGAGCAGGAACAGGCTACAGGATGAAGGACAGATACAGGGCCCCAGGACAAACACAAACTCCAAGGCAGCGTCTGTGGGTTCTGGCCATCCCTTAAATAACCCCATCATCATCAGTTCCAGGTGTTAGCTGGCTGCAAAGGTGAGTCCTCTGATTGCTCGGGAGCAGCCCGCTGGACCAGCCCTGGTAACTGCCAGATCAAAAATGCAGGAGAGACCCCCACCATTGCTGGCCAGTCCCAACCTGACCAGTACCCCCCCCCCGTCAAGGAGCGGCCCTCAGGACGGCTACCAAACAGTCCTTATCCAGGGTTAAAAATGTTCCCACAGCCCGGGTTCTGGTAACTGGCCGGGATATCAAAGACAAAGGCACAACACGGGGCAGGAACTCCGGGCAGCGGCACACCGGGCTTGGACTCCGGGCAGATGCGACTTCGGGCATGGACTCCGGGCAGGAGGCACATCGTGGGCTGGACTTACCCGGGCAGAGGGCACATCGGCAGCCAGGACCTTTCCGGGCAGAAGAGGCAACATCGGGGCAGGACTCCGGGCAGAGGCACATCGGGCAGGACTTCCGGTGCAGAGGCACATCGGGCAGGGTGACTCCGGGCGCAGAGGACACTCGGGCCAGGACTCCGGGAGAGATTCACATCGCGCAGAGGCAACATCTTGGCAGATAGGCCACATCGGCAGGGACTCCGGTGCAGAATGCACATTCGGGCAGGACTCCCGGGCTCAGAGGCACATCGGTGCCAGAGGCACATCGGAGTAGGACTCCGGGTCAGAGGCCACATCGTGGCATTACAGGCGAAGCAGCAGGCCAGTGTGACACCTGGCGTGAGCAGCAGGCACCAGGCCCCCTGGGGCGTTATTAGCAGCAGGGCACCGGGCCCCCGGGCGCAGCAGCAGGTGGGCCACCAGCCGGAGCAAAGGCACCGGGCCCCCGGCCGGGGCAAACAGGCACCGGGCCCCCGGGCGGGGCATCAGGCACGCAGGCCCCGGGCGGGGCGGCGGGGCATCGGGCCCCCAGGCGGGGCGGCGGGGGGTGCCGGGGCCCCCGAGGCGGGGCGACGGGCATCGGTGCCCCAGGCCGGGGCGACAGGCATCGGGCCCCCAGGCGGGCGGGGCGACGGGCTTCGGGCCCCCAGGCGGGGCGACAGGCTTCGGGCCCCCAGGCGGGGCGACAAGGCCATCGGGCCCCCCGGCGGGGCGACAGGCAACGGGCCCACCAGGGCTGCGCGACCGGCATCGGGGCCCCAGGCGGGCGACCGGCCAATCGGGCCCCCAGGCGGGGGCCGGCGTGGCATCGGGCCCCCGGCGGGGGCAATCGGGGCGCCGGACCGCCAGGCGGAGCGACCAGGTCCTCGGGACCCGTCAGGCGGAAGTGGCGGGGCGCCGGACCCCCAGGGCGGAGCGGACAGGTCTCGTGGTCACCTCAGGCGGTAGCGGCGGGCGCCGCACCCCCATGCCGATGCGACCAGGGGTCTCGGGCTCTCAGGCGGAAAGCGGCGGGGCGCCGGGACCCCCCCATGGAAAGCATAGCGACAGTGTCTCGGGCCCTCAGTGCGGAGCGTGCGGGCGCCGGACCCCCAGGTGGAGCGACAGGTTCTCGGGCCTTCAGGCGGAAAGCGGCGGGCGCCGGACCCCCCAGGCTGAGCGACAGGTTCTCAGGGCCCATCAGGCGGGAGCGGCGGGCGCCGGAACCCCAGGCGGCAGAATCGACAGGTCTCGGGCCCTCAGGCGGAAGCGGACAGGTCTCGGGTCCCCCCAGTGCGTGGTACAGCGGCGGGCGCCGGACCCCGCCAGATGGAGCGGACAGGTCGGGGACCCTCAGGGGCCCTCAGGGCTCAAGCGGCGGGCGCCGGACCCCCAGGTAGGTGGAGCGACAGGGTCTCGGCCCTCAGGCGGAGCGGCGGGGGCGCCGAGTCACCCAGGCACGACAGTGGGCTCCGAGTCCCAACTGGCTCATATGACGCTGGCACTGGGTCCAGACATTGGATCGTCTGGGCCCTCAGGACAGCGGGCATCGGGTCACCAGGCATCAGGTCATTTGGCTCGACCGCGGGCACCGCGTGGATCTGGGCAAAGGCAGTGGGCTCCGAGTCAACTGGTATGGACCGCGGGCACTGGGTTCAGACATTGATTGGATCGTCTGACTTGACATCGGACAAGCGGGCAGGTGGGGGACGGGTCAACCAGGCATCAAGTCATTTGGCTTTCGACAGCGAAGCACCGCGTTTCATCTGGCAAGGCAGTGGGCTACCCTGAGTCAACTGGCATGTGACTCGCGGGCACTGGGGCAGACATTGAATCGTTCTGATTGGACCCGGACAGCGGGCATCGGGTCACCACAGGCATCAGGTCATTTGGCTCGACAGCGGGCACCGCGTCATCTGGCAAGGCTCAGTGGGCTCCGAGTCAACAGGCACGACAGTGGGCACCGGGTCATCAGGTACCGGATTGTCTGGCTTGACAGCGGGCACCGGGTCACCAGGCATTGGATCGTCTGGCTCGACATTCCCTTTCAGGCATCAGGTCACCAGGTATGACAGCGGGCACTGGGTCACCAGGCATCAGGTTCATTTGGCTCGCCAGCGGGCACCGCGTCTCTGGCAAGGCAGTGGGCACCGAAGTCACCAGGTACGACAGCGGGCTCTGAGTCAATTGGCACGACAGCGAGGCACCGGATCAGGTACGGATCATCTGGATCAACAGCGGGGCATCGAGTCAACTGGACCTTTTAAGGATAGTCAGGCTGGATCAGTTCATCATGCTGGGTAGATGGCATCAGGCTGAATGCCGGCGTACGGCTGAGTAGAGGCTCAGGCCGAGTAGAGGCTTCAGGGCCGAGTAGAGGGGCTTCAGGCCGAAGAGAGGCATATCCGGCCGAGTAGGTAGAGGCTTCAGGCCGAGTAGAGGCTTCAGGCCGAGTAGAGGCATTCAGGCCGAGGTAGAGGCATCAGGAAGGCCGAGTAGAGGCACTTCAGGCCCGAGTCACGGAAGGCAGGTTCACCGGTTTTGGATACTGGCAGGATGGTATTGGTTGGAAAGAATTTTCGTTTTTTTCTGGTTTTAACTACTGGAGCACTGCAAGTAAACGCAGGTCTGCAAACGAATGGAGCAGCTGGAGACAGAGAAGAACTGGAGGATGGAACAGAAGGGGGAGCAGTTGCTACAGAGGGCTTTTTTTACAGGGTTAAAGGCAGGATAGGTGCAGCGAGTGGGAACAGGGTACTGACATGCGGTAGATAGCCAAGTATACTGGGCTGTAACTGGAGGAGCTGGTGGGAATACAGGAGTAGAGTTAGAAGCAGGACTGGGTCTTTGTAAGCTGACTGAGGCTGGGTGCAACAAGTCTGTCCATGTCTGCAGTAGGGGTTGAACAAAGCTGAGCTTACACAAAGCCTGTCTGGTCAATGACTGCACTGCGTTTATACAATCTCTTAGTGTCTGTGGTGAACATGTGGATAACGCTCCAGAAAGTAACCCACATCATCCTCTAATAACCACACCAGGGACTCTACTGGTCTGCACTAAATGGTGGCAAAAATTCATCCCTGCATTCGGGGGAACCAGATGAAACCAACTCAACACAAACCTGAATCAATGGCTGCACCATAGAGAAATCTGTGCCCTGATCTACTAGAACATGAGCGATCCGTATACATTCTAGCAGTTCATCCCGGGTATACTCCTTCAGAGTCTGATAAGCATACTCCCTGTCATCAAACACTAGCAGATATAAAATACACAACCTCATCCAGATCCATCCTTCCCATCAACAAGCCAAGATGGCTTCCCTGTGCAGCCACTTCTGGTCAGGATTGGCCTTGGTGTAATGTCAGGGCTCCCAGGTGTGACCAGAGATGTGTGACTGACGCAGGGAAACGCAGACTTCAGATATGTGATAAACAATGTAATTTATTAACACTAACAATACAACCATAAACGCAGTGCAATACTAAAACATAATACAGTGCAAACAAACCAAACCAACCACCCACAGATAACAGTACAAACAAGCAAGCGTCGTCAGGCAGGCCGGGTCAATATCAATAGGGCAGGTAGGTACAGGGGGAGCAAGCGGAGAATGGTCGGGGTCACAGGCCAGGTTCAGCAGGTAGCAAGCAGCGTAGTACAGAGGGTCAGGCAGAGGGATGGTCAGGGTCACAAGCCAGGGATCAGAACAGGGTCAGCAGAGAATCAGACAGGAACAGAGAGCAGGAACAGGATACAGGATGCAGGATGCAGGACAGATACCCCAGCATAATCAGTTCCAGGTGTTAGCTGGCTGCAAAGTTGAGTCTCTGATTGCTGGGAGCACCCGCTGGCCAGCCCTGGTACTGCAGATCAAAAGGCAGGTGAGTCCCACCATTGCTGGCCAGTCCATTCCTGACAGTACCTCTGGTCCTATTTAGGGAACCATCAGTCCAAGAGTACCTCTGGTCAGATAGATAGCAGAAAGCCAAACCAATGGTCGTTCCAATTGTGCAAGGCTGCAGTAACCAATCATCAAAATTCAATGATGAAACCCAAGCTTGGCCGTATTCGTATAGTAAAAAAGGCAGAAGTCCCAACAGTGGACAAAAAAAAGGGCAAACCCTACCCAAACAAGAGCCCCAGTGTAGTCCACCCATTACATTCTCTTTTTTGCTTATCTTCTTGTTATGCTTTGTGTTTTTTTTTTTATTATTTTTTTTTTTGGGTGCTACATTTCCAGGTGATAAAAAGTATATATCATATGCATGATATAATGTCAGGCTTTAATTTCTGGATATTAAGCAAGCTGTCCATTTCTCCAGCCTTACATTTTTCAGACCTGTATCCTAACTTGTCACGTAGAAACATTTTTGCAAATTGATGTCATTCTTAAAGTAATTTTTACCGTCTTCCCAGATCTCCGTCGTCAGTCATGTAAATAAATCTTTCACTCCTCCTGATTCTAAAGCCGTTTGTATATGTGTGTGAAGTGGAAGCTGTCTATGCTGAGCATTATGTTTACTCGGATATTGTCTTCCAGCCGTGACCGTTTTCTGGTAATTGTTACTATTAAGATTCCTATACAGTGTGAACATATCTCTGCACTTAAACTGGAGACTTTTAACACTTTGTTGAATGAACACTATAAGCCCGGGTTCACATATATGCTTTTCATTACATCGCATGTGATTCGCACAGGAACCGAACATCAGATGTGATTGTGATTGGAGCCATACATTTTGTATTACTCTAATCGCACCGCACCCGCACCAAAAAGGTGCAGGATCCTTTTTTTGGTCCGCACTACAATCGGATCGCATGGGTATTCACACCTATGCGATCTGATTCTGCACATCGCACCGCTGTTTGCAGACCGATTTTGGGGGGTGTTGGTAACTTAGCATACACACCCGCAGCGGTTCGCATGAACGAGGTGCGATTATGATGCGGAGTGGAATTCGCACAGAAAACGCTGTGAATTCTGCACTGCATCAGTGTGAACCAAGGCTAAGTGTAATGTGATTAGCAGCCACTGTTCAGAGCTTTGTCTGGTGCACCATGTACAAATAAATCTTCTTTGAGCTGTTTTTTAGTATATACAGTATGTGTGAGCATCTTGAAGTATAATTCCACTTTTGCGAAAAGTTTCGAGCAAACTTGCTGCGCCCTCCTGACTTAGCACCTGGGTGGCAACTCTTTACCTAAGCCAGAGGGAACACCTGGTGGCCCGAAGACCCAATAATCTTTTTGAATAGACAGTCTTTGGACAAAATCTGGAGATTTCACAAGTATACGCACTGGGTGTGTTTAGGAATTTTTAGTTTTCAGATCACCGGCAAAAAATAAATTAGATGTATTGGTGTCATAAAGCAATGCTTATGCGAAAATTCAAGCAGGTAGGATTTGCTGTCTATATGTATGTAAAGGTTTATGTTTGACTGGATTGTACCTTTAATACATAGCTCTTTACACAGTATACGTAGTTATATAATTGATAAGATTGAATAAAGACGCCAGTCCTTCCAAATCTACCTGTGTGTGTTTATGTCAGTACAATTTCCCTTATCCCTGTATATTGCATTCTCTAAGATGCCCATCTAAGTGTTGTTATTTGAAAATTATTAACACTTCCCGCTGACACCATCGATTGTGGAAATAGGAGTTATTTATTTATTTCAGGTACTTATATTGCGATGTCAATTTACACATACATATATTGTACATTCACATCAATCCCTAACCCTCAAGGGGCGTACAATCTAAGGTCCCTAACTTACATTCACACATACACATACAAGGGCCAATTTAGACAGGAGCCAATTCACCTATCAGCATATCTTTGGAGTGTGAGAGGAAACCGGAGTACCCGCAGGAAACCCATGCAGGCACAGGGAGAATATGCAAACTCCAGGCAGGTGGTGCCGTGGTTGGGATTTGAACCAGCGATCCTAGTACTGCCAGTGCTAACCATTTAGCCACTGAGTTCCATTTCCTTACCACTTTGGCATTAAAGAGTGCAGTTTAATGCTGTTTAAGGTTAAACCACTTCTCCAACTTCTTTGAGTGGCCCCATGACGTCTTAGGCGACCTGAGATTAAATACTTTTCTCCCTATATACACAGAACTATTATGTCATCATGTTGCAATTGTTCTTCATTTGCATGAAGAAAGAAAAGCTGTAGTGGGTCTCGGGGCGTCCCTAAGGTTGGTGTCACCCGGTGCAATAACATTTGGTGACACCCCCTCCGACGATTGCCGCAGAATGGATCGGATCTGCAGATTGAGGATAATGGATCAGACTCCGATCCATTATGCTCCCCAATCCGCAGATCCGATCCCATTCTGCGGGGATCGTCGGCTTTCTTTCCAACTTACCTTTTCATGGAGCGGGTCCGGTGTCACCCCATATAGGTTGCATGCCGAGGATCCCCGCAGGATGGTTCGGATTTGCGAATTGAGCATAATGGAGTCCGATCCATTATGCTCTCCAATCCACACCCAATGCGCACCCCCCTCGGGACGACGCTGGTGGGTTTAAATAGGAAAGGATGGATTTCTTACCCATCAATCCTATATAGAGGCCTGTCCTAGTATGGTCTGCCAGTTTGCATTGAAGGCTAACCATTTTCCAAAGTATTTTTGTTCATGTTAGTCTCTTACAAAGCACAGCACATGGCCTTTTTTCCCATATACAATTTTAAATATTATTTTTATCATGAGGGATACATAAATGTAAATCCTTAAAAGGCCCGAATTGGCAGTCGTAGTGAGTCTAAGCTATGGGTGTTAATTCCTCCAACACAGACATAGTACAAGAATACTCTCGGAGTAGAATTATAAATAGAGCCACAGCAGGTTTGAATTAGACACAAGATTAAAGGTGTTCAGACAGGGGTAAACTATTCATGTCAGATATTATGTTTTAAGTTTCTTAAGATTGTAAGTGCAAGAAAGATTGATCTGTGCTCTATAATTATGGTAAGAGGCTTTTCAAACTTGACATATGGTACAATAATATGATCAGTATTTTCATTTTTACTGTAACCTATACCTCCAGAGCCATAGTCATTTTATTATGAATCTGACATCATCTGCTGTATAGGGGCAAGTAATTCATATTGATATTTTTTTTAGGTTTCACCATCTGGTAGATGCACTTTAATTTTAATACATATTATAATCAATGCGAAGCTTAGGCATACATTTTGCATATCATATACTGTATCTTGAAGAATAGATCCTTGCCCATATAACTACACCTAAACTGCTTAGGCTGGAAAGAATAAAGCCACACCATTATTGATTTTCAGGACATATTTACAAAAGTCATAACTGCAAACAAGAATGTTTGTACCAGTCAAAAATGAACTGTATGCAACAAACTAAAACAGCGTACAGAGAATTTTGCTTTAGATTTACCAAAAGTCATATAATATGAGGTCAAACGTAAACAACATTTTCAATTCTCTA